GGCACTTAGATTACAGTTATGTGGATGAATAAGACTGCTTATTAAAATCTTTTAGTTCAAATTCTCTTAACTGGTAAAAAAAATATTACATTTGCAGGCTCACCTTTTTCCATCTACACTTCCAGGGTCCCCAATTATTACAGGTTATGTATTGTTATGATAATGCGAACGACCTGAATGAGAAAGAATCATGAACGACGTTGAAAGGTGGACAAAGGCTTTCTTCTTCTCGTTGCTGTCCAGTCGATTCCAACTCATAGGACAGAGTAGAACTGCCCCCTAGGATTTCCAAGGAGTGGCTGGTGGATTCGAACTGCTAACCAGTGTGCCACTATGGCTCCGGAGAAAAGCTTTACCATTTGTAAATGTTTGTTTCTTCTTCTTTTTTTTTTTTTAAAGTTTGGCAAAGTTCTATTTATTTTAAAAAACAAAGATGTTTAAAAACCAAAAATACAAGTTAGTTGTTTCATGTTACACTTCACAATCGATATGTTAAATGCTTGCTTTCTAAAGAAACAGGGTCCCTATGTCACAACTGCAATTATTTACTGCTAGATGTTCAAAGTTACATGGGCTAGTGTTCAACTGGAACCTGCTGATGGTGATGTCTTGAGGTTTTCTGAGTTTCAACTTAAGGTGTGCCAGGTCGTCTCCTAGGACCACACTTGCAGGGAAAGGGGAGGGAGAGGAAATCACAAATCAAGTTCTTAAGATTGTTTCACTCTTTTCGAGGCTTTCTGTTTCTTGGTGATCTGTTCAAAATTTCATCCTCCTCTACTTTAGGTTTTCTATCTTCCTCGTCTTAACTGGCAGTGCCGCCATCTTCTTCAGGGTCACTTTTTTGTTTCTCTTCAAGTTTTTCTTCGCCTTCTTCCTCCTCATCTCCCTTGTCCTTTTCCTTCTCCTTCTCTTCTTCTTCCTCCTTCACATCTGTCTGAGGAGCATCAGTCTTCTTGTACTTCATAGCACTGAGCTGTTTCTTTCCAGAGTAGCAGAAGAGGATAACAAGAAACATGGGTAGAGCTATGGTCAGAATGTAGAACACCCAAAGCCACGGGTACTCTTCAGCTGCCTCGATCATCTGGTCCATGACTCCCGGCTCAGCAGCCCCATCAGCAGCTTTCTTCAGATCCCATCCATCACTGGCCCAACCATCAACTGCTCTTCGATCACCAGAAACGATAAAGTTGTCAAAAAAAATGTCAGAGGTCATGGACCATAGCTCCAAACCAATAGCACCAAAAGAAGTCATTTTGAAAGGTTCCAGATCTTCAAATAAATCAGGATTTGGTATTTTCCTAGGTTTCCAGATTCCCTGGTAGTTGGGATTGTCAATCATGGGAGGCTTCCATTTACCCTAATAATTGGGGCTGTCAATCATAGGTTGCTGCCAGATACCACATCCAAGAGCAGACTCACATTTCGGGTTGGCAATCTGAGGAGCCTCCCATTCTCCATCTATATCTTCATCCCAATCCTCTGGCTTCTCTGCATCTGGGTCAGGTACATATTCTGGCTCATTATCCAACTAGCCTTCAGGTTTTGTGGCCTCCTCATCTGGAATCTTAGCAGGGGCATCTTTATCCCAGTCATCTGGCTTGACAGCATCTGGATCTGCTATTTTTGGTCTTTTGTCCCAGTCCTCAGGCTTCTGGTCTTCTGTGTAAATGCTTATTTCTTAAAGCTGGACTCAGGATAGTACACTGTCTAGTCTCCATGGTGTCCTGGGACCAGGGAAGTGTCTTTGACTCTGCAAGACATACTGTTCTGTCTTCCCTACTCTCCCTAGGGACTCAAGGTCTGAGGTGATTCCTTTTCTGGGGAATGATTCAAGCTTAGGGAAGGCCAAATTCCAGCTCTAGTATCAAACTTGATGTTTCTTCTTTCTTTTGTCTATTTTATACTTATATCCCCTAATCACAGTTATGATAGTTATAAATACAACTTTTCAAACTTAACATCTGGAGAAATATAGAATCTTTGAAGAAATGTTGTAAAAGTAAATAATCATATAGTACTGAAGAAACATCTCCTTTTTTGCTATTAAAGTGAAAAACTTTTGAAGGATTCAAAGTGCGTGTTTGATTTTATGATTATTTGATCCAATTTGAACCATTGTTGTTGTTGTTAGGTGCCATCGAGTCGGTTCTGACTCATAGCGACCCTGTATGTAGAACAGAATGAAACATTGCCCAGTCCTGTGACATCCTCACAATTGTTGCTATGCTTGAGCCCACTGTTGTAGCCATTAGTTCGTAAAATTAACTTCAGAATATGCTAATAATATCCTTGGTAGGAGATGTGAAGTCTTTAAATGCAGGTTGTGTTAGCAAAAATATGAAGTGGAAAAAAATATATAATTTTACAGTCAATTTACATGCCAGATCTCCAATTTATTCTATCACTACAAGTTTTGATAATGTGTTATGTGTAAATCAGGCCCTAATTTAGTATGTTTACTTTATAGTGATATTTTTGTTGCTAACTTGAAGTGAGCTTACATGATTACATTTCTCACTACCATCTATTCCTTTTCATCCCAGAATGAGGAATAATCTTGCCCATTTTATTCTTTCACATTGACTTCTTCATTGCTACTTATTTTCTTGTTAGGTGGTTTCAAACTCAAGGTGAAAAGGTCCATTTAACTTTATACTTTGGAAAACTCAAATTTTTTAAAACATTTAAAAATTTTTTTTGGAAAATTTCCCTGATTTTGACTGTATTTATCCTTAATTTTCTTTTCAGGAAATAAGATTAGTAGTTTCTCATTTTGCTAAATGTTCTTTTTCTTTATTTTTTGTAGAACTGTGATACCTTGTAGAATATATGGCTTCATTCCCACAGGGATCCAGGAAGG